CTAGGAAGGTCCTTGAGATGTGAGGCTCTTGATTGGGAATGATCTGGGCCAGTCCTGGATAGCTGATGCCATTCGCATCTGAGCCAGTGCGCTGATATCTGTAGCGTCCTGTTATGAAAGATGATCATGAGGCCAGTCTGGTGATGCTGAGGCCAGTCTGGAGATGCTGAGGCCAGTCTGGTGATGCTGAGGCCAGTCTGGCGATGCTGAGGCCAGTCTGGTGATGGAGGGTCTTGTGGATGCTGAGGGCCATGTCTGGCGATGCTGTGTGCCAGTTCTGCGATAGCTGAAGGCCAAGTCTGGCGAATCGCTGAGGTTCATTGGCTACCTGAGGCCAGTATGGGATAATGACTGAGGCCAGTCTGGTGATGCTGAGGCCAGTACTGGCGATGCTGAGGCCAGTCTGGTGATGCTGAGGCCAGTCTGGCATGCTGAGGCCAGTCTGGTGATGCTGAGGCCAGACTGGCGATGCTGAGGCCAGTCTGGTGATGCTGAGGCAGTCTGGCGATGCTTGAGGCCAGTCTGGCGATGCTGAGGCCAGTCTGGCGATGCTGAGGCCAGTACTGGCGATGCTGAGGCCAGTCTGGCGACGCTGAGGCCAGTCTGGCGACGCTGAGGCCAGTCTGGCGACGCTGAGGCCAGTCTGGCGACGCTGAGGCCAGTCTGGTGGTGTCGTCAGAGGTGACCAGTCTTATGATAGCTCATGTGGACTGAGGACCGAGAAAAAACATTTGTGATAACGAACCAGATACGTATGTGATGATGCAGTATGGACTGATACATGAGCGATGCATGATAATGATGATACATGAGTACTGTACTGAATGGATGATACATGAGTACTGTATGATGATGCATACATGAGTACGTATGATAATGATGATACATGAGTACTGTATGATGATGATACATGAGTACTGTATGATAATGATGATACATGAGTACTGTATGATGATGATACATGAGTACTGTATGATAATGATGATACATGATACTGTATGATAATAATGATACATGAGTACTGTATGATAATGATGATAATGAGTACCGTATGATAATGATGATACATGAGTACTGTATGATAATGATGATACATGAGTACTGTATGATAATGATGATACATGAGTACTGTATGATAATGATACATGAGTACTGTATGATAATGATGATACATGAGTACTGTATGATAATGATGATACATGAGTACTGTATGATAATGATGATACATGAGTACTGTATGATGATGATACATGAGTACTGTATGATAATGATGATACATGAGTACTGTATGATAATGATGATACATGAGTACTGTATGATAATGATGATACATGAGTACTGTATGATAATGATGATACATGAGTACTGTATGATAATGATGATACATGAGTACTGTATGATAATGATGATACATGAGTACTGTATGATAATGATGATACATGAGTACCGTATGATAATGATGATACATGAGTACTGTATGATAATGATGATACATGAGTACTGTATGATAATGATGATACATGAGTACTGTATGATAATGATGATACATGAGTACTGTATGATAATGATGATACATGAGTACTGTATGATAATGATATACATGAGTACTGTATGATAATGATGATACATGAGTACTGTATGATAATGATGATACATGAGTACTGTATGATAATGATGATACATGAGTACTGTATGATGATGATACATGAGTACTGTATGATAATGATGATACATGAGTACTGTATGATAATGATGATACATAAGTACTGTATGATAATGATGATACATGAGTACTGTATGATAATGATGATACATGAGTACCGTATGATATGATGATACATGAGTACTGTATGATAATGATGATACATGAGTACTGTATGATGATGATACATGAGTACTGTATGATAATGATGATACATGAGTACTGTATGATAATGATGATACATGAGTACTGTATGATAATGATGATACATGAGTACGTATGATAATGATGATACATGAGTACTGTATGATGATGATACATGAGTACGTATGATAATGATGATACATGAGTACTGTATGTAATGATGATACATGAGTACTGTGATGATGATACATGAGTACTGTATGATAATGATGATACATGAGTACTGTATGATAATGATGATACATGAGTACTGTATGATGATGATACATGAGTACTGTATGATAATGATGATACATGAGTACTGTATGATAATGATGATACATGAGTACGTATGATAATGATGATACATGAGTACTGTATGATAATGATGATACATGAGTACTGTATGATAATGATGATACATGAGTACTGTATGATAATGATGATACATGAGTACTGTATGATAATATGATACATGAGTACTGTATGATAATGATGATACATGAGTACTGTATGATAATGATGATAACATGAGTACCCGTATGATATATGATACATGAGTACTGTATGATAATGATGATACAGAGTACTGTATGATATAATGATACATGAGTACTGTATGATAATGATGATACATGGTACTGTATGATAATGATGTACATGGTATGTATGATGATGATACATGAGTACTGTATGATAATGATGATACATGAGTACTGTATGATAATGTGATACATGAGTACTGTATGATAATGTGATACATGAGTACTGTATGATAATGATGATACATGAGTACTGTATGATAATGATGATACATAGAGTACTGTATGATAATGATGATACATGAGTACTGTATGATAATGATGATACATGAGTACTGTATGATAATGATGATACATGAGTACTGTATGATAATGATGATACATGAGTACTGTATGATAATGATGATACATGAGTACTGTATGATAATGATGATACATGAGTACTGTATGATAATGATGATACATGAGTACTGTATGATAATGATGATACATGAGTACTGTATGATAATGATGATACATGAGTACTGTATGATAATGATGATACATGAGTACTGTATGATAATGATGATACATGAGTACTGTATGATAATGATATACATAGTACTGTATGATAATGATGATACATGAGTACTGTATGATAATGATACATGAGTACTGTATGATAATGATGATACATGAGTACTGTATGATAATGATACATGAGTACTGTATGATAATGATGATACATGAGTACTGTATGATAATAATGATACATGAGTACTGTATGATAATGATGATACATGAGTACTGTATGATAATGATGATACATGAGTACTGTATGATAATGATGATACATGAGTACTGTATGATAATGATGATACATGAGTACTGTATGATAATGATGATACATGAGTACTGTATGATAATGATGATACATGAGTACTGTATGATAATGATGATACATGAGTACTGTATGATAATGATGATACATGAGTACGTATGTATGATGATACATGAGTACTGTATGATAATGATGATACATGAGTACCTGTATGATAGATGATACATAAGTACTGTATGATAATGATGATACATGAGTACTGTATGATAATGATAACATAGTACTGTATGTATGATGATACATGAGTACTGTATGATAATGATGATACATGAGTACTGTATGATAATGATAATACATAAGTACTGTATGATAATGATGATACATGAGTACCGTATGATAATGATACATAAGTACTGTATGATAATGATGATACATGAGTACCGTATGATAATGATACATAAGTACTGTATGATAATGATGATACATGAGTACTGTATGATAATGATGATACATGAGTACTGTATGATAATGATGATACATAAGTACTGTATGATAATGATGATACATGAGTACGTATGATAATGAGATACATTAAGTAAATGTATGATAATGAATGATACATAGTACTGTATGATAATGATAATACATAGTACTGTATGATAATGATGATACATGAGTACTGTATGATAGATGATACACGAAGTACTGTATGATAATGATATACATAGTACTGTATGATAATGATATACACGAGTACTGTATGATAATGAGGATACATATAGTATGAATGTACTCAAGGCTGGTAGATAATGATATACTAGTGTATTTATGATGTACACGGTATTATGTACTTGATCCGATGAACTGGTACTATGTCCTCTACTTATGAAATTGATACACTAGTCTACTTCTCTGAATGTATACATATATAATAATGAAGAGTCTTGATCAATGACTGGAATACTATGTACTGTTATGATAATGGTCATTCATTGTGACCCCCTAAGGCGATGGTGATTTATCCTAGTGATTCTTTGACGCCGGCCAATAGTTTATAATCAGAGGAATTGACTGTCGACTCTTTTATGACGACTTGATACTGTATGCTCTTCTCAGTACAAATAATATGAATGATTTGAGGCACAAGAACTGAATAGCTTTGTTATATCTTGTCATCTCCTTCTTCAGCACCCTGCGCAAGGGAATGTTATACCTACAGTTTAGTTCCATAATAGAGTTATAATAATATTTACTACAGTTTGGATTCCTATATGAGTCACTTAATACGTGTAAATGCGCTCTACGAGGCAGCAACTTTCTGGATGCAAAGAGAAGTTGGAAAAGCAGATTTGTTATTCTTTAGTGCTTTAAAGTTACAGGAAACTGATCACAACAGCCATTCCAGAACATCATTTACAACGTTTGGATTTCCTTTTCCATTTGTTCTAACTCGTTTACTGTACAAATATTCGAATAAGGTAGGAGATTGTTGTTAATTCAGTAGACTATTTTCTACACTGCTACTCAGCATGCATGGACAACGTGTATGAGATTTTTCTTCTAACCTTTTTTATAGAAAGTGGGATTTTTAATACTTTAGATTCATTTTGTCATTAAATTGGATGATCGCGATATGGGATTTTAAAAGGTGGATATACTTTAAAATTTTGTGCATAAAAAGCACTCCCGGTAAAGGATATCTTTACTCTGCATCCTATGTGGATAACCGGCTGGCACCTCCGGGGACTGCTAACCAGGAAGCACCCATCTTAGTTTAGACCTCATGCTACTAATGTGTTCCTACTTGGCCTCTCGAAAGCCATCATTTTCCTTACACAAACTTCAAGGCGCGAACACCTCAAGCTGTCAGGAACTAATGTCTGCTTCTGAACTCAGCTCAGTGTTTCTTAGCTCAGTCCTCCTTTTCTTCGCTGTCTGGAAAGCCGCTTTCTTTGGAATTCTCTTCGCTTCCTTCTCCCAGAGATTTACTTCTAGTTTTACGGAAGGAGCTCTCTCGGCCACTCTTATAACCAGATTCATAGTCGGCGTAGTCGTAATCGAAATACTGGTAGTCGTAGTCGCGTATGGGGCTTGGTAGTCTGAAGGGAGAAGGCGTAGTGAAAACCAGCTGGGCAGGACGGTAGAAGTTGTCGAGGCTTGGTTCTCCTACTACCCGTACGGGTCTAGGCACCGGCCCGTTAGCATGTTTGTTCTTGCGGCTATCCTGGAATGGTACTAGATTAAGGAGGTGGATCCCCAGCGGAGCCAGAGACCTTGCAGCGAGAGGAAGGCGGCGGTGAGTTGATCTGCCGGAGGTATGGAGTCCCATGATGACGGGTGGTATCCGTCCCTTCACGCTCACGGGCTGCGGCACCAGCTGCTGGGACCCGACCCGAGGTTTGGGCACGTTGGGTATCCGAATACGGTTAACAAGTACGAAATCTGTTCCCGTAATAGGCTGATCAGGTGGCAAACTCATTATTTCTAATAAGGCATTTTTTATATCTCGGGACTCCTGGGGGTTATCATCAGGATCACCAAACCCAGAGGTTAATTTGTCGAACACAGGAGCCATAACATTGTTCTCCGAAGACGTGGCAAGAGGCTTGGCAGTGTGTGATGCAGGTTCCTCCGGCTGTTGCAGCAACAAGTCATCTTCCTCGTGTTCCGACTGACCAGCAACAAACTCTGAGCTAGTGTGTTGAGAGGCAAAAACTGGTAGTGCAACGCCCCGAGCAGCAACAGAAGGTGTGGTCACATGATCAGCTGTAATACTCACATCACTCTCGCTTTCCCTCAGTTCATCACTACCAGGAGTCAAGCTGCAGTTACCACCGTTTCCGATGCTATTTTTAAATTCCTCTGTGAGACTCTGCAAGAAAATATCTCTGGGCTGAGTACCTGACGAGAGGGACTCAGCGGGGGCGGTTCCTTGCTGTGGGTGAGATCCAGTGCCCTTTACAGGCACTCTTTGTCCCGCCCCGCGCCCTGGGACGCCCTCTTCCAAGGTCCTCTTCTCGGCTGGAAATGCTGGGACACCCTTGGCTAGCGTCCTTTGCCCAGTAAAAAGTGGGACGCCCGTCACCACGGGGACGCCGATAGGGATGAGCTCGGCGGCAGCTCCAGGCTGACTGGGCACAGAGTCTCCAAAGGCTCTGAAGCCTCCGGTGTCAGCAACGTACCAGATGTGGTGACTCTCCCCGTAACTGTCCACCCAGCTGCAAAATAAAAATTATAACTAGAAGATTTTTTATATTGTTGCAAAAATCAACTGTAAATGATACAGTTTTACAATGCATACTGTAATATTGTATTCTGTAAGACGTGCTAAAAATTTTACCATTAGTATCGTTGCTTTTCTTTATTTAATTTTCAAGTCCCAACAGTTCAAATGACTAAATTTAAATCAGAAAATTAAGGAAGCAAGAAATCTTGGGAATAATCTTCGGTTGAAGCATCAAGAACAGAACTAGGAATATCAAGGAGCACAAACTGGGAATATCAAGGAGCACAGAACTGGGAATATCAAGGAGCACAGAACTGCGAATATCAAGGAGCACAGAACTGGGAATATCAAGGAGCACAGAACTGAGAATATCAGAGATCAGAACCGGGACTATCACCTCTAGTCTTTAGAAACATTGAGTCTGATCACCACTCTTGTCTGGATAACATGTAAAGAGCAGGCAACAGAGATTGTATCCTAAATCACATTCAAGGAACTTATTTTTTCTTCTCGTGAAGGCTCTAAACAAAGTCTTCCTCGATATGCGTTCAGTATCGTATCAACCAACATTTAGTGGCGCATTTAACTACATTCAGTAGTGTCTACCAACATTCTGTAGCGCATCTACCAACACTGAGCATCATACCTGCAGTACGAGAACCGAGTTGAATGATCCCTCAGCTGGTGTTTACCACAAGACGTGAAAATAAACGTCTCTAAAAAAAAAAAAAAACCTCGAGGGTCCCTACTGGTACAGCACATCCCCCAAGAGTCTAACAATAAGTTACTGCATCAAGGAACCCAGGTCTCGATACTACACGGCCCTCGCTACATCAAACATCAACGAGGACTTCAGCAAGTATGATAGCCACACTTACCTCCACGTCCCTGTAACGTTGTAACCAGGGAGTCCTTCCTCGCTCCTCGAGTGTTGGGACTCACTGTAGTGTAGTATCTCCCCACACCACACCCTGCCACACCCCAGCACCAACACACCCTGTGGAGAAATATAATTATGTTTCATGTGTAGTATGCTGATATTTGCAAAACAATGGCGGCTCGATACTCCTTCCAGGGACTGAACCACTTCCCCCCGGTTGAGTTTCATAAGTGAAATTAATACACATGTGCAACACCTGGGTATCTTTATTGTAGACGTTTCGCCATTCAGTGGCTTTATCAATACAAATTTCAGGACATAACTTGAAGACAGTAGAACTATGTACAGAAGATGAGGTAATCAGTCCCTCAACCTTGGAGTAGGTGCGAAGAACACCGTAGTCGTGGATTATTCTGAAGCAGAAGCAAGGCGCCTGACGCTTATATACTAACGTCAGGTGGAAAAGGGACGTGTAGCAGACGAGGGCATAGTTTCATAAACAATTAGCTGCAGTGTCTTTGTTGAACCAATAAGTAATATGGAGGAAACGAAGTATCACTAGTAAGCTGCATAAATCATTATAGATCAATGGTTCAGAGAACCGATAAGTTGATAAATTACACACATGTGCAACTCTTGGGTATCTTTATTGAGGAAACATTTCGTAAGATACCCAAGAGTTGCACATGTGCCGAAACGTTTCCTCAATAAAGATACCCAAGAGTTGCACATGTGTGTAATTTATCAACTTGTCGGTTCTCTGAACCATTGATCTATAATGATTTATGCAGCTTACTAGTGATACTTCGTTTCCTCCATATTACTTATTGGTTCAACAAAGACACTGCAGCTAATTGTTTATGATTCCTCAATAAAGATTCTCAAATGTTACACAAGTGTCTCATTCCTTCATTTACAGTGCTACATTCTCCCATTCCCTGGATCCCACTGTCTCCCATTTCCCGAGGGGCTTTATTGCCCCTTATGGGTTTAGCGCTTCTAACTAAATATGTCGGTTTTACATCCTCAGAAGTGTTTAGCGCCTAGTTTAGATTGTAAAAATAATAAATCCACAAAAGTATGAATCCCGGGATGTTTATCTAAGCAGGTTAAGAGGGTGAGGTGATCTGCCAGGCAAAATAAGAGCGAACCTTAAAATGTTTTGGAGGGTCAACACCCCCCCCCCCAGATCCCTCCTCGAGGCCTGATCCCAGACTAGGCCTCCTAGTGGAATAAGGCCTGATCAACCAAGCTGTTACTGCTGGCCCTCACGTAGTCCAAGGCACGAGATAATTTTGAGAATGACCAGTCACACACCCTTGATGGGACTACTTATCTATCAAAGCTGAGGAACTGATTGCCTCAAAATTACCTGTCCACTTTTACTCAGGTAAGGAGGGAGGGAGGAAGTGGGGATAGGCGAAGAACAGTTCAGAAAAGGTGTGTCTCCAGTCGTGGATAAAGGGTCAGGGTTTAACCCAGCAGCAGGGCGTTGGTGGCAGGAAGAAGAGTGCAGTAGAGTAGCAAATTATCTGGTGATGTTGCTGACAGGAAGGCGAATTCGCTAGAACCTGAGTAGTTCAGCTAGTAGTAGTGTTGACCTGAGTCGTTTTATGGTTCACTGCTGAGGAACCATTCTTGAATCTTTCGAGGGCGACATCGCAGGGGTTGTCGCCTTCGGTGATGTATCCTTTGAGAAGTAAGAAAAGCCGCAGGCGAATTTTACCGTGCCGTTGCACAGTCTTGTGTATAGTACCTTGGAATACATGGAGGAGCTCCTGTTAGAGTGATGTGGAAGCAGAGGTTTTCTCAGCCAAGGCCAGGGGCGTGGCCATCACTGTCAATTTCTTTTTATTTTAATCCAGCAGTGATAGTTCCAGTTCCTTTAACTCCTGGGAAACGGCTAGTAAAGACTGACGATGACAGAGATAACATCCAGACTGTATGAGAAAGAGGGTGTAGAGGGTGCAGGCGTGACAATTCGGTGTTTTGAGAGTGAAGTGTCAGTGGTAGGTGCGAGGATGGCAGAGGTGGGAATTTCTTCAGGGATGAGTACTTCAGAGGTGGCCATGAGCTCAACTGAGTCTGGGATATGTGCACAGGGGAGGCAGGGGGAGGCTGGTTGATCTTCAGTGTTTTAGCAGGATTGACTTCAAGGAGCTTCATTTCTGGGAAATTGTTGAGCTTGAAGATAGTACTGGCGACTTCGTTGAATGTTCCCGAGTTGAAGGCATTTTGTAGATGGGGAAAAAAATGAGGCAGGAGAAAATTTCCTTAGTGGGCCTATCCTGAAAGATGGACGTTGGGTCCATGGCAGTAGCAGAGGCAGGGAAGGTGGACTGCTGGCACTGAACATAGACTGTTGGCAGGGAAGTTGGACTCTTGGCAGGGAAGGTGGAATGCTGGCAGGGAAGGTGGATTGCTGGCACTGAACATAAACTGGTGGCAGGGAAGTTGGACTGCTGGCAGGGAAGGTGGAATGCTGGCAGGGAAGGTGGACTGCTGGCACTGAACATAGACTGTTGGCAGGGAAGTTGGACTGCTGGCAGGGAAGGTGGACTGCTGGCAGGGAAGGTGGACTGCTAGCAGGGAAGGTGGAATGCTGGCAGAGACGTTAGACTGCTGGCAGAGAAGGTGGAATGCTAGCGGGAAGGTGAACTGCTGGCAGGGAAGGTGGAATGCTGGCAGGGAAGGTGGAATGCTGGCAGTGGCGTTAGACTGCTGGCAGGGAAGGTGAAATGCTGGCAGGGAGGGTGGACTGCTGGCAGGTAAGGTGGACTGCTGGCAGGGAAGGTGGAATGCTGGCAGGAAAGGTGGAATGCTGGCAGGGAAGGTGGATTGCTGGCAGGGAAGGTGAAATGCTGGCAGGGAAGGTGGACTGCTGGCAGGGAAGGTGGAATGGTAGCGGGAAGGTGAACTGCTGGCAGGGAAGGTGGAATGCTGGCAGGGAAGATGGACTGCTGGCAGGGAAGATGGACTGCTGGCAGGGAAAGTGGACTGCTGGCAGGTAAGGTGGACTGCTAGCAGGGAAGGTGGACTGCTAGCAGGGAAGGTGGATTGCTGGCAGGGAAGGTGGACTGCTGGCAGGGAAGGTGAAATGCTGGCAGGGAAGGTGGACTGCTGGCAGGGAAGGTGAAATGCTGGCAGGGAAGGTGGACTGCTGGCAGGGAAGGTGAAATGCTGGCAGGGAAGGTGGACTGCTGGCAGGGAAGGTGAAATGCTGGCAGGGAAGGTGGACTGCTGGCAGGGAAGGTGGACTGCTGGCAGGGAAGGTGGACTGCTGGCAGGGAAGGTGGAATGCTGGCAGGGAAGGTGGACTGTGGCAGGGAAGGTGGAAATGCTGGCAGGGAAGGTGGACTGCTGGCAGGGAAGGTGAAATGCTGGCAGGGAAGGGGGACTGCTGGCAGGGAAGGTGAAATGCTGGCAGGGAAGGTGGACTGCTGGCAGGGAAGGTGGACTGCTGGCAGGGAAGGTGGAAGGGCTGGCAGGGAAGGTGAAATGCTGGCAGGGAAGGTGGACTGCTGGCAGGGAAGGTGGACTGCTGGCAGGGAAGGTGGAATGCTGGCAGGGAAGGTGAAATGCTGGCAGGGAAGGTGGACTGCTGGCAGGGAAGGTAGACTGCTGGCAGGGAAGGTGGACTGCTGGCAGGGAAGGTGGAATGCTGGCAGGGAAGGTAGACTGCTGGCAGGGAAGGTGGACTGCTGGCAGGGAAGGTGGACTGCTGGCAGGGAAGGTGGAATGCTGGCAGGGAAGGTGAAATGCTGGCAGGGAAGGTGGACTGCTGGCAGGGAAGGTGGACTGCTGGCAGGGAAGGTGGACTGCTGGCAAGGGAAAAGGTGGAATGCTGGCGGGGAAAGGTGAAATGCTGGCAGGGAAGGTGGACTGCTGGCAGGGAAGGTGGACTGCTGGCAGGGAAGGTGGACTGCTGTGCTGCTTGAAATATTTCCGATGTCGGACTGAAGACATGATACTATCGTACGTTGTTCAATTGATTTTTTTTTTTTTTTTGCAAATAGATTTTCTTGGTGACAGTCTTCTTGTTCATGGTGACATCAAGTAACAAGGATCGGGAGATCGCTGTTACATCTTCAGCACTTATGTTGGCTAGTCTTGGGGCATTCATAATTGAAGTGTGGTCGTCAGCATTACAGACTGAGCAGAGCTTCTTGTTATAAAGGACTGTTGCTGGTCGCATCCTGGGCGACAAGATGAACCTAAGTTGTCCGAAATCCTCTGTATAACAATTGATGTCAGCTAAGTCTGTACTAGTTGCTTCACGTACTTGCAGAATTTTTTTTTTTTCAACGAACCGGCCGTATCCCACCGAGGCAGGGTGACCTATAAAGAAAAGCGAAAGTTTTTCTTTTTAAATTTAATAATTTATAGAGAAGGGGTTACTAGCCCCTGGATTATTATTATTATTATTATTATTATTATTATTATTATTATTATTATTATTATTATTATTATTATTAAGGATAGACACCAAGGGTGTCCCTCAGTATAGCAGACAGTACCCTCTTCGTGTGGACAAAAGTGTCCGCACGAAGAGGAGATATGCGCTCACACAGTGCGCCAGCATCTTCAATTCAATTCAATTCAAGTTTATTCTCTATAATGGTTACAATGTGGGGTTTACAGGTTTTGGGTATTGTGTGGTTTACATGTTATAAAATACTAATTACAGAGGGGGCCACTAGGACACCTAGCATGGCTAGGCATTTCGACCAGACTTAGATTAATTCTTAACATTAAGTCCTTACAGATTATAGTATTAAGGCTAAGTGACTACATCATAATTTGTGAGTTTAGAAATGTGAATGCTTTTGCTTTGGCACAATACAAGGTGTCTATATTGGAGTATCATATGCAAACTTATGACTAGTTAGGATTTATTATTTTAAGATTAAGATTAGTATTTCTGTGTTTATAGTCAGTGGGTGAGTGAGTGTAATTGTGAACCACCAGGTGGTTATCATGTAGTTAGTTGTCGGGGTGGATCAGGGAGATAAGATGTTTTCTAACTGTAGTTTTGAAAGTGATGAATGTGTCTGCAGTTCTAGAGTAAAGGTTGTCTTCTCCCCTAGGATCACAGAGAACTTGCTGCCGTCACGTGACGAGGATGCAATGTGTACGAGTCTGTCAATAAAAAAAAAGTCGGTGCTTGAATGTAGCACAGTGCATGTTTACACAGGGAGGTGCGAACAATAGCAGCGATCAATTTTACACCATAATATTTCCTTTTATTGGGCCACTATTTGTAAGGAGACAGCCGATTTGGTAAAAAAAAAATCCTGAAATGTATAACGCGCATATATCATACATCTTCAGATGTGATGCAGAGGGTTGGGAGTAGAGGCGTGGACATGGAAATTAATGTCTGAGAGAGTGCCTGGGTGAGGATGGTGGGTTCAAACAAGGCTTGGGCACTGAGACAAAGTTTGACGTATGGTGGCGTCCTGGGGGAGATGGTGGTGGTGGTGGTGGACAAGGTGTGGGAATCCTGGGGGAGATGTGGGTGTCCTGGAAGGGGAGAATGAAGGCTGGGGACAAGGTGTGGGTGTGGATATACACACTAGGGTTGCCCACCTGTCACTATGTACTGACGTAGAGGCAGCAGCAGCGGCGGCGAGGCTTGGCCATGACATTTACCAATGGTCTCCGGCTGTTCTTCCCTAATCATCGTTCTAATATACACGTACAACATATATATATATATATATAAAATATATATATATATATATATTAATATATAATATATATATATTATATATATATATAATATATATATATATATATATATATATATATAAATGAGAGAGAGAAAAGCCACAATACCATGGCTGGAGTAATTCACACGTAACTCGCGCTCTGGAGTAGGAACTTTAGACAATATTTACGTCCGTCCTGGACCGAAACGTCGTCTGAATTATCGGTCCTATGCCGTCATCAAATCAGAACTCGTTTGATTTCGATGATCCAGCCTGTTCCAGGCTCTCATAGTTTGTCATCCGTAGTGAGCATCGTCCTGGGGGTCAGGTCATAACCTCGGGTGGAGTTGCATGCTCATATTTGCCCGCTATTGAGTGACCCTGAGGTTAAGGCTGAATTAATTCTCAGTGAAAAGAAATTATGACGTGATCATTTCGTTAAAGGTTGAGGTCACAGCGTGCACTCAGCCAGCTGAGAGAGAGAAAAAAAAGGAAAACAGAAGGTACAGGAAATATAAATTTAGGACAGCTCTGGTAGTGTGTAGACATGCATGTTATATATCACACGTTATTTTGAAGTATGTTGGCATGTAGACTGTTTCACCAGTCCTTTAGACGAATGCAGGCTGTACTTTACACTTAAGAAATTAACAGTATGCCTCTGACGTATTATTGTCAGTGGCGACGTCAAATAAAAATAACTAGAATAACACGGCTTTCCCTCCCCAATCCAATAAATTTCCACCCCTGAGCCCCTCGTATGGAGAAATTCTGGATCCTACACTTCATTATTTTTACCGTAGTCTCAGCATTAGGAAATTACGATTCGTATTTTACACCGAGGCGAACAAACCCCGCAGAGTTGAGCAGCAGTGACTCTCCTATGTTGAGACGCTACATCAGAACTCCACGGTTAAGCGACGCCATTTATGTAAAGTAAACAAACGCTGAGAGAACATCTCATTATAAATCTTGCAGTGAATTATTTAGCACTTTACCCATCTCTATATGATTATTTTTGTATTAGGGTGGGTATGGCATGCATTTTCTGCACAGTCCTGATATATGCTGAACATTAAAATGGTATAAAATACCGACAGATTGTTAGGTAAGACACATATGCAACAGTTAGGTATCTTTATTTCGAAACGTTTCGCCTACACAGTAGGCTTCTTCAGTCGAGTACAGAAAAGTTGATAGAAGCAGAAGATACTTGAAGACGATGTAATCAGTCCATCACCCTTAAAGTTTTGAGGTGGTCAGTCCCTCAGTCTGGAGAAGAGCATTGTTCCGTTGTCTGAAACAATATGAAGTTGAAGTGACAGGATGGAGCCTTTATATAGTGCCAGGAGGTGAGACG